CACGTGGTGATATTCTCTCATTTTCTTCTCAACTATCAACCGACAAATCCCTAACAACTCTAGCCCTAACTACTGGTTCAATGAGTGATGATGGAGTCATTGCACTAGCAGAGTCACTGCTATATAACGAAGCACTCGAAAACTTGCATCTTAATGACAATCCTGGCATCACTTCAGATAGTGCTCGTTCACTGGCTAAACTTTTACTCATTAACAAGACACTCAAGTACCTTCGTCTCCATCATACCAGCATTGATACTGATGGAGTAATGATGCTGATGGAATCTCTGGTGACCAATCATACACTAGTGAAACTCTGGCTAGACAAACAGCATGAAAAAACTTGTTTTGCTTCACCTCATTACAAGGATATTGAAAGCATATTATATTTTTTGTAGACAGAAAGTTAGAAAGTTTTAGTTTTTAACAATTAGTTAAAAAGTTTTAGTTTTTAACAATTAGTTAGAAAGTTTTAGTTTTTAACAATTAGTTAGAAAGTTTTAGTTTTTAACAATTAGTTAGAAAGTTTTAGTTTTTAACAATTAGTTAGAAATTTTTAGTTTTCAACAATAATTAGTTATATACCAAGTTATTATACGTGTGACTATTATCTCAATACATTATACACAAACAATAAAATGCTATTAATCATGTGATAGTCAGTTGACAGTCAGTCAGTGCAGCTGTTGATTCTTAGTAGACGATAAATACCAAAAGAGAAGACAGCCCTCAGTCTCTGATACATCATCACTAGCTCTTGCTTTGTTAATATCCTCCAGCCCATGGCCACCACTTATAAACACTTGATAATTACTATTAGTGTGTGTGGGCGGAACTGATACCAGGGTACTCACTCTATCAACGTGACCTCTGATTAGTGGGTGGAGTTGATGGGTGCTAGCTCCTCCCACTAGAGATAATGTAATAAGGACACCAGTGGAGGTACCAATCAGTAGCTGAGATTGTGTACATGTTAGTGAAGTGATGTAAGGATTGGTGCATTTGTGTTTCTTAATGATGGGATCATAATCTACAGGAAGGAAGATAAGAAAAAAACACTTTACATTGTGAATTTGGTATCAAGTCAAGTATCAAGTACATGTACATAAAGACCAAATAGATCTACGTCAATGAAAAGAACATATATGCACATTTAAAAATAACTAAATGCAACAGTTTTTAGTTCATGATTACATGATGCACATGTACATGTGCCATTGGTCTATGCTTACATCTCAGTGGCAGCCGCAGTGCTCTGAGTGCTGATGTTACACTGCACTGCACTGCAGTGAGGCTTGACTTGAGGTGTGGCTTGTTATACATTTACAGTAATGGCTACTCAACACAAGGAAATCTCTTTCAATGCTTTCTTGTCCTCTACTCCAACTATAAAGTTGAATAATCACGTGATCGATCTATGGCTACTACTTTTTTCCTCTGAGACCAACCTGTGTCCTCTTTGCTCTTTTGCCGGTTTAAATCACTTTTAACCGGCCACAAATTCAGGTTGTTGCCGTCAGTGTTGAGTCTGTATAGTGTTTTTTTTGTTTTCTTCTTGTAGCCTGATCGTAACTCAAAGAATCCACGTGTCTTGGTCTTCAGTGCTGCCTGCCATTACTGGGACCTACAATGCCTACTAAATCTCGTGATAAAGTTGTTCCAGCTTCCACTGAGAAGACCTCTACTGGTTCGAGACTGTCTGGTAAAAAATCCAAATGTATCTGTCCAATATGTGATGATGGTATTGATGACGCTATCCATGATTCCATATTTTGTGAAGGGACCTGTCAAGCGTGGGTCCACAGGGGCTGTGGTGGGCTGTCCAAGTCTGCTCATGAAAAGGCCAAGGGTCTTCAAACTTGGTGCTGCCCACAATGTCGTCTTGACGCCCAATCAAATGAGATTTCAGCTCTAAAGAAGGAGGTTACTGATCTTACTAAACAGTTCTCCTCTCTTAAATTACTCATAGAGTCTCGTTTATCCACCATCCCTGAAGAGGTAAATACTGCTGCTCTGTCAGCTACTCGCAGTACGCCTACAAATGCTGCACCCAGTACAGAATCTAGTGCTAATATTCACCGGAAACCTGATAAAAAATTCAATTTAGTTGTCACTGGCTTAAAGGAGAGTGCCCCCAAAACCCCTCGCTCTGATAGGGTGAAGCATGACTTTGACATGGTTTCATCTCTGTTCTCACCTCTTTTACCAATTTTCTCAGAGAACACTGTTAGAGATTGTCTCCGCTTGGGCAAGTATTCATCTGACCGCTCCCGTCCATTGTTAGTTACCCTCAACCGTTCATGTGATGTCTCTGGTATTCTATCAAATAAGTCCCGATTGGCAGATAAGCCTTCAATTGGTATCAGGGCTGACTTGCCTCCCCATCTCCGTCAATCAAGGTCTAAATTTTTGAAACAGCGTAGAGACCTCATTTCATCTGGTGTGAACCCCTCTGTAATCAAGGCTGGAAATCTGTCACTCTATGTTCATGGTAAGAAGTTTGGCTCAGTGGTAAATCAAGAGTTTCAGTTATGTCCTGACTCTGATCTGGAGGGGACTTCAAGCTCTTTGCAAGTAGATGACTCACGCCTTGCAAATTCCTCTGCTATTCCTCCAACCTTGCCAAATCAGGACTCGTCCTGACTAGGTGGGTGTCACAGTCGTGTTTCTTTTAGTCTTTGGGATGCTCGAAGCATCAAGAACAAGTTAGAAGTTTTTCAATCCATTGTTTATAGTCGATCACTTGATGTCATTTGTCTCACTGAGACATGGTTGTCTCCCTCAATATTTGACGCTGAGATACTACCCACTGGTTATACAATCCATCGGAGGGATAGGTCTCATGCTACTGGTGGAGGTATTCTTCTCGCGGTGTCCACTACTATCCCATCCAGACATATTCATACTGCTACTGATATAGAACTGATTATAGTTGAGTTAAATCTTATGAAGCCAGTTTATGTCTGTTGTGTTTACCTGCCTCCTCCTACTGATGTAACAGTTGTGCTATCATTGTTCCACCATCTCTCGCTAGCAGTACCTGAGGATTCCCTGTTGCTGTTACTGGGAGATTTTAATCTGCCTGATATTGATTGGTGCTCTCTATCAGCCTCCTCAGTACCTTCACGCTCTTTTTGTAATAAGCTATTCTCGTTGAACTATGCTCAACTTGTTACTAGCCCAACCCATGAGAGTGGCAACATTCTTGATCTGGTCATCACAAATTGTCCTGAGTCAGTATGTAATCTGTCAGTCTGCAGGGATGTATGCCCTGGTATTTCTGACCATTACTTTATTGACTTCTATATTACAATATCTAGGCCTGAGCCAATTAAGAACAAGTGCAAAGTGTGTTTCTGTTATGATAAGGTAGACACTGACGGTTTATATCACTACTTGTCATTATATTCAGCCCCTCCCATCCTTAACACTAATATTGATAATGTCTGGTCCTCAATAACCCGAGTCATGTTAGAGTCACGTGACTTATTTGTTAGTAAAGTGAAGCTGCATACTACTCCAACTCCCAGATGGTACACTTCTGAGATCAGGTGTGCTATACACAAAGTGAGATCCTTAAGACGCAGAGTTAATAGAACGGCTACAAACCACCAAGTGGACAAACTATTTTTAATGGAGCGTGATTTACAGAGTCAAATTGCGTCAGCCAAAGAGACCTATTTATCTGCCATGGTCTCAAGATTCAACGATCGACCAGGGGTTCTCTTCTCCTATCTTTCGCGTCTGTCCAAGGTCACTACCATACCTCAGGTGGTACACTTTGGTGATTTATCTGCCAGTACCCCAAAGAATAAGGCAAATTTATTTAATTCGTTCTTCCATTCTGTACTTACTACTAGTGATTATTGTCTTCCTCCTCTCTCTGATCTACCTGCGCCAGTGACCCAGATACATCATTTAACTGTCTCAGCTGATGATGTGTTTAAGAAACTCATGGCTCTCGATACTTCAAAGGCAACAGGTATAGATGATATACATCCAACCATTATCAAGCTATGTGCTGGACCTCTTATACCTACTCTCACCTCTCTATACCAAACTTGTTTGATGTACCATACTATGCCCAATCAATGGAAGGTGCATAAAATCTGTCCCGTCTATAAGAGTGGGGATAGATCAAATGTATGTAATTATAGACCTGTCTCACTGCTGTGTGTCCTATCCAAAGTTCTGGAGTCTATAATTTATGATAAGTTAATAAACTTCATACGTCCGAAGCTCTCTAGAAACCAGTATGGTTTTCTACAACAAAGATCATGTCTAACTCAGCTTCTTACATTTTTTGCTGATATCTATTCTGGAGTTGAGGGCAAGAAGGAGGTGGATGTCTTATATTTTGATTTCAAAAAGGCTTTTGACTCAGTGCCTCACCAGGAATTGCTCTACAAGCTTTGGATGATTGGCATTACTGGGCCACTATGGTTGTGGTTCAAGTGTTACCTGACAGATCGACTTCATCTCACTTACATCGAAGGGGAATGTTCTAAATGTCTTGAGGTTACATCAGGTGTCCCTCAGGGCAGTGTGTTGGGACCCTTGTTGTTTCTTGTATATGTCAACGACATCCCAAATAGAATTTCGTCTACTATATATTCTTTCGCTGATGACATGAAATTTCTGAGAGTACTGTCTTCTTTCACAGATAGAGACTTATTGTCATCCGATCTCTCCTCCTTGAAGAACTGGTGCTCTGAATGGGGTATCAGACTAAATGCATCAAAGTGCTCACACATCACTTTCTCCCTACTACGTAACAGAAACGAATCCACATATTATATTGACGATCTACTACTAGACCAAGTTGAGACGCAAAGCGATCTCGGAGTAATAGTATCTCAAGACTTATCTTGGTCAGCTCATTACAGGAAAATTTGTTCCAAGGCGTATCGGACTCTATATATGGTACGTAGAAACATTCCCAGTGCAGCTGACTCTGGTCTCAAGCGGGTCCTATACCTGACACTAGTCCGGTCACAGCTCTGCTACTGCTCACAGGTATGGAGTCCAATGCATCTCAAAGATATCCGAGTTCTAGAGCTTGTTCAAAGAAGGGCGACAAAGTACATCCTATCAGGCTCTGTTCTTTCATATAAAGATCGGCTCATCAAGCTAAATTTACTACCTCTAATGTACTGGTACGACTTTCAGGATATTCTTTTTCTATTAAAGTGTATACTACATCCTCCC